CCTCCCCTGGACTTTAACTGGACTAGATAATAGAAATTATAAAGAGTTCAAAAGTTCAATCTTGGTTGTTCAAGGGAATTAGAAGGATGCCCGATAACATAACCTATATGACAGTAGGCCTATATTCCTCTCTACCAAAATGTATTAATATATGCGTAGCCCCCAGAAGACTATGTATTTTGAGATGTCTGCCGCGATATGCAATTTAAGTTAGTACAATGAGATGCAAAAGCTTCATCACTTTGGAAAAACACAAGTTTGCTGCCCAATACTTAATGTAAGCTCCGATTGCATTTTGGGAACAGCCTTGCAAGTAAAATTAGCCTTGAGATCTGATAGACTCACCTGTCCAGCAGAGCTCGCCCCCGGCTCACTCTCTGTGCGTCTTTCGCCTGATTCCTATCAAATAAATACATTTATTTATTTTATATTTATTTATTTATTTTATATAGGCCAAAATATCAATAGGTGTTGCCTCAAAGAGTTGGTGTAATGATTATTTATGTATTTAATAATAAAATGTTGCTTAATATTTATTAAGCACCACCTTAATTTATCCAAAAGTGAACACTTGTTACAGTGCAGTTTCTGCTGTTACTGGAGATATTTTAGCGGACTATAGTCACTAGTTTTACCAGCATGGATGCATTGAATACTTAATTTACCTTTCTAAAAAACTGTCGAATATCCATGCTGTCGACTCAACCTGACTTTCGGCAATGAACTGTCGAAAGGTTGGCAGCACCTACGTGTGTGAACAACTATTTTCTTTGCTGAAGCTGAACAAAACATCACACAGAAGTCGATTTACTGCTGAACACCCTCACTCAATTTTGAGGATTTGCTCAGCTCAGAGCCTGACCCCAAATATTGATGAACTTGTAGAAAAGTTAAGACACCACCGAGTATCAGCCTCAGCCTCAAAGAAGTGAATATTACTTATAATATACTGTGCAATCACATATTAAGAGTTTTTACTCAGTTCAAGTTTAAAAATTAAAGTATAATATTTGCTTTCGCTGCTTGTTACTTCTCCTTGAAGAAAGTGTTGTCTTTGGTTTATACATTTTTGCACTTTATTTTGTTGTATTTCAATCCAATTATGTTTTAAAAATATTTTATTCGAGTCAATGATCGAAAATTACTGCACTATTATTTGTTTTTCTTTTAAGTAAATTTAGCCTACTTTTGCTAAAAGAGAAAATATGGACTATTGATAGTGCCTTGAATATCGGCTTCTTTCATTCATGTTATGGGTATTTTTATACAAAGGAAATTTTTTTGTGCCTGTTGAAAATTAAGCTGACTGACATAGCCATAAAAAATGTTGCTTTATTTATCTGACCATATTGGAATGTATTTGTTCGGTTTTCAGTCAATTAAATTTGATTCAATAAACAATGTGTGGTCATTTTTAAAATTTTCAATGAACAGTCGATCAGTCCGGCCCTCGGCTTGCAGCAAAATTTTTTATCTGGCCCTCCGTCCATTTGACTTTGACACCCCTGCTCTAAGTTGTGAATGAGATTGGCCAATGGTTCTAATCTTTAAAAGGAAATATGTCATCCTTGATTATAAGCTAGACTGAAACAGATACCATGAGGAGAAGTATGTGCATCTGTATTTTTGAAAAAAAAAAAAAAAAAGTGAACATAAAATTCTCACGAGCATGTTATTTAATAAAGAAGAAATCTACCAACATTGAAGCGTGTTATTTAGTGTCTCGACTGTATTTTCAGATGTCATGATTTATTTATTTTTTTATTTTCAAAACAAAAGACTGGGTGAGAGAGAATGTCACATCTTTAGAATGGGAAGGAGTTTCATTTTGTTTGGACAAGCGACCCCAATACGTGATTATTACAGTAATTAGCTTTCAAATTCCACAATTTGGGTTTCTGTTTTTATTCATATATTTTGTGGATTCCAATTTGCGTGAAAGTGGTGGTTTTGGTGAAACCTTCAACAACTTGGCATGGTTACGCTGAAATGCTTGTGCCATGTTTCTTTTTAACGTGTCTGCTTCGACATTACTTATGACAGTGTTGAAAGGCATTCAACACATTTTGTCGAGGGGGCCGTTCTTGGTGAAGGGCAACGTGACAATAACTTTGTGCTCGTAACCATACACCCCTATGAGTGCAATATCCAATTCTTCATTCTCGTTTCAACACTTTCCCTTTTTCATTTCAATTAATTCAGTCTTCTCACATTGGCGTTTTATATCTGTCAAAGACGTGTGCATGCACCCATAACCACAAGGAGCACACGCCTCTCCTGGTGACAATGATGCGGGCCACCTGATAGGGAATAATGAGTGCTAGATTCAAATGAAAATGAAGTGTCTAATTATGTCAGAGGTGCCTTGATGTTATGTCACTGTTGCAGCACATTTTAAATAACATCCAGCAAATCTCTTTTACACAGCAGGCACCCATGACGGATGGAGAGCTCTCCTGCAAGCATTCAGTCAGGCTGTCAGGCCGCTGGCTGCTGCTTCTGTCACTGACTTAAACGGCCACATATGGGACATGAATAAAGCAGAGGCGAAACTACTTGGTTGCGACACAGACATTTGGGTTGACCTGACTGAGGTATCATTTAATGTGGAATTACAAAATTGCCTTTTGAATTGCTTGTATGCAAATAGTTGCGTCTCTGGAGTGCATGCCCACCCCTCAAGTGTGGAAGTAAACGATCCAGTTAATCTTTTGTGAGTTGCCTAGCTCCAAATACGTCTGAGCAAACTGTTCTGAATTTGCTTCACTGTGACGTAACAATCTACAAAGAACGGCCCCAAAAGATAGGTGGTTTTCAGACACAAACTAACTTTCATTTTAACTCTTGGCATCACTAATGTGAGAAAAATGTCAGCAGAAAATTGGTTCCAAATTGTACAGGTATGATCAATGACCACAATTTTTTTAAATTATTATTTTTTTTAGATTAGAATTTAGTTACATTTGTATTACTTAATAGGGTCAACAAAAAACTGACACGGTGATTTTTTTTCTGACCCAAACAGAACTTGCTTTAACAGAGACAAGCAATTTCATGAAGTTGAACTTGGCCAAATATGTACAGAGAAAGATGATCTTTAAGCAGCTAACTTGGACATCTTCTGGCGGTTCGCAGTTCATTTTTAAATTGTTTTGATTAAGTGTCGAAAGAGAATGCATCTCTTATTCATCTATACCTTATAATTAAAATCCAGAAAAAAGCTAAATGTGTTCTACGAACGGGTACAGCACACCCTTTTCATCTAAAATATATTTCAAGTTCAAAGACATCATCAAACCGTCACCCACTGTTTTGGCAGTCATTTCCAAGGTGGCTTTCTGCAATGTAAAGAATTGGCCTTCATCAAATGATGTTTAGTATTGTAATTACAGTATATTAACATTATTTATAGTTGGTGAAAAAAAAAAACAGAATCTGCTAATTGTGACTGGAATGGAGATAAAGAACACACACACACACACACACACGCACACGCACACACACACACAAAACAATTTAACCTGGTTCAGTAGCTAAAATGATGAAAAAATAAAACAAAAGTGTTGTCTTTTCTCATCTCTTTGAATCAAAATTGTTGATTACATTACATACTTTTAATGGAAATGACAGAAGCAGGATGTTTAAGCCGCTCTGGGACTGCTCAACTATCTTTGGGTGTGGAAAATGAATACAGATGGCCAATAATCAGGCATATAATCAGCCAAATTGAGTTTTCCCCCCTGAAAAAAAAAAATGGTGATTTTTTTTTTTGTTTCATTATTAATCTGAGATGAGATTTTCACATTTAACTTTAAATGTAAAATTTCAGGTTTACAGTTTACCCATCTAGAGCGGAATCAGAAAGCACTTTTTTTTTTCTTTTTTAGATATCATAAATCAACTCTCTTTGTTTACTCACATTTGTATGCAGCTGTAAATCAGTATTAGATTTCAAATAAAAGTGACTAGATTTCTTACCAGTGTGCGTACGATAATGGTCCTTCATTGCCGACAGGTTGAGGAAGGCGTAGTGGCAGGACGGCCAGGAACACTTATATGGTTTCTCCCCACTGTGCAGTTTCAGGTGGTTGTTTAGGGCCCATTTTTCACTAAAGGAGCGCTCACACAACTTGCACTCGAACTTCCTGTAGAATATAGGAAATAAAGAAGAAGAAAGGGAGGCAGGGACAGGAAGTCAGCAGGAGGGGAAACTGTTATTTACTGATCTTACCACTGGAATAAAATACTGGTCACTCTATGCCATGAGAAAGGTAATGGAGGTTGCCGGCTAGTTACAGTCCTCCTCACCGAGCACAAGACCATTTGATTGCACGCTGTCTGTCCACACTGACACACAAAGGCACACACCGCACGCGCGCACATACTATTCCCATGCACATACACAGGCACACACAAGAGTGCAGTTGGCTACTGGTATGTCATGTCTGTATAAGCAGGCATTGATTTTTCTGTCCTGGCCTGCCACCTCCACCATTTATTCTCTGCTTTGCACCACGGCCCAGAGGACTATAGAAATTCTGTTACAGTGCACGCACGCACGCACGCACGCACGCACGCACACACACACACACACACACACACACACACACACACACACACAGAGCATGTGAGGGGGTGTGGGGGCCCTGCAGGGAGAATAGAGTTCACCTGTCCAGCATCCCTGACCACTTAGCCAGGGTTAAATGAACAGTTATCAACATTTTACCCACCATCTCTTGAGGCCTCTGTATCAAAGCTTCTCTCTAGCTTCCAAACTCCATTGAAACACTTCCTCATATCTATGTTTTCATCATGAACAGTCCCTCCGCATTCAATAGACAGTTTCAATCTCAAATTGTGTGCATACATTCCACTGTGGTTTGCTGTGCCAAAAGCTTATTTGGGGAATCAGGGAATGCACAAAATTGACAATTGGCATGCACACTGAATCCAGTACAATAAAGACGACTGAAAAGAATGACACCATAAATTCAAGACGTCAGATGGGACGAAGTTCAATGAAGTTCGATGAAATAAATAGCGATATATAATAATGGACACCGTCATACAGTATATTACATGTGTGGGGCACAATATTAGAAAAAAACTCCTGTACAATGCAGTGCAAATATGGGGCAGTGTATAATACAAGTTTGCAAATGAACATAATTACATTAAAATACAAATATCTGTTAACAGTGGCAATTAAAAGTGTGTCTTATTTTCTTCAAAAATGCTTGGTTTGTTTTAGTTCATGTTTGGTCGGTCTGAGTTTCTGTATGGTAGGTGTCAGTAATGTGAAAACACATTGTGTTTTTACTAACTCGACATGTGTCTGTTCCTCATGCTCACGCCTACATTGTTTGAAACACTGTGGGCTTTTTTTGTCTTACACGTGTGGGATGCTTGCTGCTATATTCATCTGCTGTGCTATTGGGCTTCAAGAAACGCACAGAAACTAAACACAATAGATAAACTCAGGCGGGAATTAATCTTTACCCCACTCTATAATTTAGACGCAGAATGACTAATGTGCGAGTCATAAACAAATGAAGTCAGGTTTTGGGGAGCATTTGTCTTGAAGCGAGGGCCATGTTATTTTAGGGAGGGTGGCTGTCTTTAAGTCCTGATTGCGTCGTTTAATCCCCATGGTATCGCTTTCATAGCGAGCCGCATGACACTCACCTGAACAAATAATGACTCCACGCAGCATGTAGCATGTGTCTGAATCAATAATTCAAACTCATACATCTTCCTTACTGGAAGAAGGGGGCCAACAGAGTAATAGGGGAGAAATATAAAATGAAAGAGCCGGAATTTAAGGTGGTGGGGGTCGGTGGCTGGGGAAAGAGCAAAATGCATCATGGCTCCAAGAACCATCTCCAAGTTGCATGAATTTGATTTTCGGTGGGATTTTGATGTTCTGGTATGGACATTCTAAGCATGCTTACGAGGGAGGAAAGGGAAGCTGTAAAATGCCATCAGCCTTATTTATTTCATCACATGACTTAAAACAAACATAATTTGACCAATAGATGTACATTTGAATCTGCATTTCCTCACTCGCTGCGGTATTTATGGAATGCTGCGCATGCCACCATGGGAGAAGTAAATAAAATGAGTGAAGAGATGCGATGTTTTATTGTAAGCAATATGAGCAACACTCCTCCTGCTTTATGAGCTAAACAGGCCATTGTTTATTATGCGGCCTAATCGCAAAGTCAGGCAGGCAGGCAGGCAGGCAGGCCCTTACAGTGCCGGGATGGAGAAAAACGAGAGCCAATGCAAAGCAGAGGAGAGAACAGAGGTGCATGCGCCACCAGCCCTGAGTGTCAGTGGGTGGTTTGTAAGGATCAGAGCAGGGCTTGGGTCTGCTTTATTTTTTTTATTTATTTATTTATTTATTTTTAATGGGATCAAATGGAGTGCTTTGATCTTGTCCCCGCATGTCAGATTCTGTCACGATTCACTGTCTCACATACATATATGTGCATTGCCTCGAAACAGCCAGGCACCATGCACAACCTGCTGAATGTAGAAGGAATGCAGGAGAGAGAGAAATCTAGACAGTGAAAGGTGAAATAGTTTTGGCCAATAGCAGGGCTCGACAATGCGCCCAATATGCTCGCAAATGATCCCATTTTTTTCATGCGCGCTGGTAAAAAAAATTAATCCGTTCGCACAGTGCAAGTGCATGTTTTAATGTTCCTACAGGTACATAGGGCGGAGGCGCGCCCACTTTGTGTCTGTCTGTCAGACTGCACACTGAAGTCGGAACGCACATCGGGGTAAATCCTACCAGTGTAAATTCTATTCATTTGTTTTCACGTTGTGATGCTAATGTATTTTGGTATATATTTGTCTATATATATATATATAAAAATAAAAAATAGTCAACACAAAAAAATTTAACATTATTAACTAGGTTAACATTTATTAGCACAAAAAAAAAAAGAAAAAAACTGACTGAAAATTGGACCCATTGAGTATTAGTACCAATTCAGGAAATCAGTTCCATCCTACTTAAACTGTGAATGGTCCCCTTCACTACTTGATATGTTACAAATACACCAATGTGATCAGGAAATACAAGTAAATATGCATACATGAATAAAGAAATGTAGGGCTCATGCCATCAATTCATTCACTTATAAAATCATTAATTTAATATTTATATTAGAAAAAAATCACAACATGTCATATCCTTATTTATTTATCCATACAGATATTAACAATAAGGACAGTTTCTGAAATATAATGTTTATCTGGTCTGTCCTGAAGGGACATAATAATAAGAATGATTATTATTATTGTTGTTATTTTAATTTTTATTCTTCTTATTATTAAGTGGTTTGAAGCAGAATTTATATCAGTTGTCTATGTTTCGGGGTATTTATTCCATTGCTTTTTGGATGTGTGCGCTTCGCAGAGTTAAATTTGCAGTAAAAGTTAGCGCCAAAGTCTGTTCTCAAAATGATATAAACTAATGACTAAAAAAAAATATGTTGGGAGAATGTATTCCATAAAGGAGATGAGATGCAACAGAACTATAGAATATAAACAGAACTATAGAATATAAACAGTAATTCATTTTTGGAGATAAGTGTACGGGCATGTTGGATATAATGAGAGAGAGGTCACCAGGCCCACAAAAATTCAGCCTAAGCAGAAGCGATTGACTATCAAATCAGTGGCCACAGCTCCTATATGTTGACTCGGGGCAAAACAAATCAGCACCACATCTCAAGTCAGGTGTTCGGCCTGAATTCTGACTAGAGGGCCACACAATAAATACATTTTCCCCCTTTTTCAGTCTTTATAATTCTGCTCTTCTTCCTCCATCTCTTCCCTCTGTTCCCACCAGATCATGCAGTGATGTGACATGATTGAACACGTGGTGCAGATTTATTCAGGGACTCAGGTGGGCTTCTGGCCTGTACTTTCTGAAATCTGCATACTTCCAAGTGTATACCGTCACTCATGACCATGTACTGTGGTGTGATCTTGTCATCAGTTCAGAAATAAGCTGCTGGCAGAACATCACAGACCACATTGGCCCTAATTGTGATGTACTATATATTTCCTAGGAGGTCTAAGTCTGTACCGTTGTCAGTGGTTGTAAAAATTTATTGAAAAAAAGACCCAGTTTCTTACCACTGACTCCCTGCTGCCTGTGGTGAAGTATAAATGTGTGTGGTTAGGGGAAACAATTGTTGACGATTTTGTGTTATTCAAAATTAATGTGAATGTTTCAATTTGACAGTGTAATTGTAACAGAGAACCCCTCCGCCAAAAAATGTGTACACCCAAAATATGTGTTCACGGCATAAATGACTGGTCAACACTGAACCTGTCATCACAGCAAATAGAATTGTATTTTTCCCCAATGAGAGACATTTAGTGATTGGACCGTTCAACATTTTTTATTTGTCTAGGGTGTTGGCCAGTTGGTGTGGGGAACTAATCTCCAACACTCTCTCATGGCAACACAAAGACAGAAAGAGAGAGGGGCCGACTCTCGCCTGAAGCCAAACTGACACAAACAGACAACTTCAAAGTGACGACTGTTGTTTATTTGGCAAAGAGAAAGTGGGGGGAGAAAATTTATCTGATATGCAACTGTCAGGAGAGCATTTTCACATGCAAAATAGCGAGTGAGTGAGAGAGATTACCTAGAGGGAGGAACATGACAGCATTCACTAGGGTCAGGATGGATCATCATCTTCAGCCCCCGACTGCATCATCTCTCTCTCTCCCGCTCGCTCTCTCTTTCTGCCTCCATCTTTATCGCGCCACTTGCGTTACTTCTTCCCCTCCCCAGCATTTTCCTTCACGTCCTGTTTTCAGACTTCATCACTCTGCACTTCGACAAGCCGGCAGCTTGGATCCAGACTAAATTAGCTGAATGAAGATTAAATCATTGGCCCTGAGCTCCCCACGAAATTGGGGGAAAGACTGAGTAAGCCTTAAATGGCAGCTGACTGAATTTGGACCGAAATATGTGTCGAAAGAGATGATCTTGTTTTAATAGGGATCAATGGAAACCCAATTTGATTGTGGTAGGGTAAAAAATGCAGAACAAATTGCATTTATCTTTCCTGAACACGGATGCTGGCTTTGTTATATGTCATGGGCCAAAGCCAAT